ACTCGAACTCTCATTCGGTCCAGCAGAGAGTAAATCAGAAAGGTGTAACCCCCCAATGACAAGAGAGACAAGGAAAAACGGAAATGCTGCGAGAGAGTTGAGTGGTCACACTTCAACAGCAGAAATGCTTAATCATATCCATCGACATGTGGCGCACTTTTTCTCATCCTTCTCTCATTGGAAATCTAGGCAATTCACTACTCTATCTGCATCCTCTCCATGCTATTCATCTCCCCAATTCTGCTCGTCGCAAGCAATGTCCACTTTGCTGGAGACTGCAGAGCAGTCACACCTATGCCACCAACAAATGTCAAACAGTCTATCGTAAGTCTCTCCCTTGATCTCTCTCTCTTACCACGCCAACTCATTAATCAACGTGCTCCAGTGCTTCGCCCCATCTTTCTGCCTAGTACCGTTATCACGTAACGGAAAGGCGCGGCTAAGACACGAAGAGGACGGGCTGGATGTAGATGTCAGCAAGGCAAAGGTCTTTAGTGCTGCCTGGGATGAACGAAGGATGCCAGAGGGCGAAGGCCAAGCAACTCCACTACACTCCTCATCTTCACATCTTCCTACTCCTCCTCCCTTCTCTCAATTTCCAGCAAAATCCCTCACTCTCAAACTCGGCCAAACTTATCTTCTCCCTTCTTCCCTTCCTCCGCTCTTCAGATTTTATTCTATCTCCCTGAGCAATAATACGTAGTCTTTCAGTAGTTACTTAATGCCTTTAAGATTGCACTAGTACAGTTTAAATGTCAAAGTGAGCGTTTCTAACACTTTAACAGAACTAAAGTGGTTAGAGTTATTTCCTAAGATTGCGGAAATCACTCAAGTATTCTTTTTTATAATATGATGATCGAAATTCTCTGTCTTCTTCTGGTCTGTGATTCAGATTTCCTTTAAAACCAGACAGATAAAAAATGGAGATTTGGATAAGTAATAGGCAAGCATTAAGAACACACAAGGACTTTATGGAAAATCTGATAAGAGCGCAGCACAGAATGAACGAACAATGTAAGAGCTCTGATGCCGCCTTCAATCAGGGACAGACAGAGGGAGAAACTGCAACAGGGAGCAAATGAGCAAAAAGATTGGTAGATGGAGTGGCAGAAGGTATAATAAGAGATGGATATCAAACATTTGGTGAACAGAGACGTGTAAATGAACCGCAGAGAAAAAAACAGAGAGGAGAAGCAGTTACAGAGAAACAGTGGCCGGATAACTGAGGTAGGAGAATCAGATGACATATCATATCAAGCTGTTAAGGTGCAATAATTTCAAATGCTGAGCGCTGCTCCGGAGTCTGTCTGGCCACTCCCTTTAAGATGAAGAAGAGACTTAAAAAAGAGAGGGAGGAGAGGAGAAGGAGAGGAGGGGAAGGAAAGAGAGGAGAGGAGAAAAGATAGAGAGAAGTGCTTAACTCTGGCTTTGACTTCTTCCACATAGCCTTGCCTGTGACCACACGGCGCTCTTTCATACAGCCCACTGAACAGAGAAGAAGGGAAGCCAGTGACTGTGGGGCCAAGTGATTCGGGACAGAGTGGAATTGCTTTGCAGAGCAGAGTGAGAGAGAGAGAGAGAAGGAAAAGAGAGAGAGAGAGACGAGAGAGAAGAGAGAGAAGAGAGAGGAGAGATAAGAGAAGAGAGATAAAAGAAGAGAGCAGAGCAAGCAGAAGGGAGAAGAAGAAGGATGCAGAAGAGAGGAGATGGAGGAGTGGAGCGTGATCACGTTTGTTTCTCTGGACGGAAGACATCGCGAGTTGACTCCGGAGATGAGAGAAAGGAGGAAGAGTGGAGGAAGCCAGAGAAGAGAGAAGAAGGAGGAGGAGAGGAGGAGGAGGAGGAGGGGAGAGGGAGGAGGAGGAAGAGGAGGAAGAAAAAAATCACCTCAATAACTAGCAACTACAGAACGGACGGTCACCTCAGTCCTCTACACATCCACTCCTCCACCATTACACACACGTAGAGCCATGCATGCAAACACACACCTACGCACAGAGAGTAGCTAGTAGGCACAAACACACAGCACTTACTCTCTAACCTTATTAAGGCTTTCAGCAGAGCCACTGCTCGAGTGATGTGAATCACATATCAGAGCGATGACGGCGAGGGTTCTATGTGTTTATGGTAATGTGTGTGTGTGTGTGTGTGTGTGTGTGTGTGGTGGGAGGAATATAAGGAGACAGACAGAAGTGCATGGAAGCAAGGTGTTTATAATTTCACATCACACACACAAACAAGCTATTCTTTCAGCTATTAGCTAATAGCCACACACAAAGTTCAGTCCTATAACTGAGTACTTCTCTCTGTGCATTATACAGGTACTCCGGCAGAAATAGCATGAAGGTGTATGTATAAGCCAAGGATGGAGGGAGAGAGAGAGGCAGACACAGAGAGGTACAGAGAGAGAGAGAGAGGTGTTAGAGTGGGCTGTATAGAATGTAGTGAGTGTTGAAGCAGTAAATTGGCATTGTGTAACAGGATACCACACATAGCTCTTTTGCTGCCTAGAGCCCCACTACCATTCCCTGAATAGCAAGGCTTTTGTCTACCTCAAACTCTCTCTTCATACCGCGCCCCCGTCTGTATAGTGTCTCTCTAGTGAATCAATACCAGATTGCGTGTAGAAGTTGTTCAGAACTTACACCTCTCACTCATAAACACGTATGAAAACCTAATAAATCACACCCCTCATTGAGTTTAAAGTAGTAATTTGGGATTTTGTGATCTTCCTGAGATCAAGTGTGGCTATCCTTCAAGGTGATACAAGTTGTTTTAAGCCAAATCGCATTCAATAGTGTTTAAACACAAACAGCTGTTGATAAATATTTCCGAAATTAAAAAAATTATACATTAGGATTTAAATCAAACAATCTGAATAAAAATAAGCAAATGAGACAAAAAAATTGACCAAGAATTTTGTGAGTCACTATGTTCATAAAAAGTATTGAGGTTCAGCAGACGGCCCTAATTTCCAATAGAGAAATTTTGAGCTCTAGTAATTGGTACGTTTTTCTTTGTCATATCAGCCAATTTAACTTTTTTAAAGGCTGCTCAGACTTACTACCTCGAGGTAAATCCAAATCCAATTTCTGCCTGGGAAAACAGTAAACGTTAAGGTGTAGCAGTTTAAATAACTGTGTGTATAATAATTGGTTTTAAAAATGACATTTTGATAAGGCAAGCAGAAAAAGCCAAACATAAAATGTTAATGTAAGTTAAGTTAGGAGTTAGGAGAAGGTACCAGGCTGAAAGCTCTGGTGAATCAAGGGTACTTTTTATTTAAATGTAAAGTATTTCAGCCTAGATCCATCATCCCAAAGGGAGAGCTTACTCATCTAAACTCTGAGGTCTAAAATAGGCCAGCAGTGGCCTTCCCATTCCACATCTCTTAGTCCGGGATCGGTGAATGTCATTGTTTATTATTAGGCCGAACCATTTCCTGCCTTTCTCCAATTCAAGCACATTGTCAAGCGATGGATAGCAGGCTGAGAGGAGAGAGACAGAGACAGTGAGTGTGCAGAGAGAGAGAGAGAGAGAGGAGAGGAGAAGGAGAGAGAGAGACTTAAAATGTCTTTTTGCCTAGTGTACATAATACACAAGCACTTGCATTTGTAAAAGGTTTCTATCGATCCGGCTGATCTTATTAGCTGGTGACTGGCACATCAAACATAAAAAAAGCCTTTGCAAGAACACTCTAGCCATCATCCAATCAGGTGTGAGAAAACAGCAGTCCCTCCACGCTGTCCTTCCCACCCTCAGAGGCCCCCTGAAAGGATCCAGTTACATCATCACATAATCTAGAAGGTGATGGTTCCCAGACAGCAACACAAGCACAGACACACAAAAATACACATACACACAGTGGTAATTAAGATCAGTTACCATGGAGATGGGAGAATTGAAGAAGCTGTTAAAGTGGATTGATCGTGTGTGTGTAGGGGTGTGTGTGTGTGTGTGTGTGTAGCCTTGCAATCCTTGTATCTATGACTGTGGGTCTCTTTTCAATTAGAGGGCAGAGGCAGAGCAGCACTGCTCACCTTGTCAAGCTACAGTAACAGTCTGGTAAGAAAGGTGATGATAATGATTTAACAGCACTATAATAAAAACAACTGCATGATCTCTTAGAAAAATGAGCTATGCTTACTAAACAGCCGGTGATGCCTTACAGTGGTATTAAGTTTATCATCAAGAGGTCATCATGTTATCTTTTGGGAAACGTTCAAAAACGTTCTTCAAGTTGAACAACAAGTAAGTTTTATGCTGTTATCGGGGAAAGCCATAATTGTCTAGCAGTTTCAAAATGCCTACTGGCTAACAGTCACACATCATTAAAGCTGTAGGATTTATATATTTACAGCTATTTACTTCTAATATGAGACTTAATTTTCATTATGAGAGCGTCATTACACTGCTATTTACAGCTATTAAATACTGAGACAAATGCTACACCGCTCCTGTCATCTAAGAGCAAATTGCTTCGAGCATTCCCATCCCAAAAACACAAAATGTTGCCACTACTGCCAGCTTTGTACTGGATCCACACACAACATCTTAACCTACATTCCAATCTAGTTAATGAAATAATCTAAAACCATACTGATTCATTATTAAGGACAAAAGCCGTCAGGTATCACCATGCTTTCAAATAAAGCCAATCAGGTTGTTGAATGTTGTCAGTAAACACAAAGTGACCACTGAATGGTAAGAACAGCTTAGCAGAGAAAAACTAAGAAGAACAAAAAGAAAACTGAAGTAAAAGTGAATGATGCTGCCATTTAAGGACTGATAAAAAGGTAAAACAATGACAAGTACAGTATATGGGAGAGGTCTGGATATCTTAAAGTGACTAAGTTTGAACAAAGACTTGCCAACAGCCGGATAAAACCAAGATTGGAAGAAGTAATCACTTCTATAACCAGAAACTAGTCTAATGAGTAGACACAAGACTATGAAATTATTGCTCTATGCATGCATGCGCCAGGTACAATAGGATCACAACAAATGCTAAATAAGTACTTTAACGGTCAACATCAGTACCCCAAAACAACATCTGTGTGTTAATTTGTTGCTATTACACATTATGATAAAGAAACATAAAAAGGAGAAGATGCCTTTAAGCACAGAAAGGAAAAGAGAGGTTCAGATAGCACAAAACCAATGGTGCTGAATTATTGTATTACTGTTTGGACTACAAGTTAATTGAGCATAGAAATAATGTATTTTATACATTTTAGTTTAAATTGATTTAAGAGTGAAATGTTTGTTTAACTAGTTCATTTGGTTGGTGGTTTAGCTTTTTATGAAACTATATTATATATTTTAAGGAAACGATATCAAACTCTATAGTTTTTTATAAATGACAGAAGAAAGAAGGACTCTTCATACCTTTGGAATTCCCGGTCGATCGAGCCAGTCAGCATAAATAGCACCGAGTGTTAGGCCTTTTCTGGAACACAATGGCACAAGTGTTAGTATTATTCCTATTATTATAGCAATGACTGTTATTGCCCAAGACAACCTATGAAAACATGGCTCTGGGAAAATACTGTGAGGGTCATGCGGACTTGAGGTTTAGGCCAACACCTTAAACAAAAAGAGGGGCACACCCACTTTCCTATGCACGGACAAGCAAACAGGCATGTGCAGACAATGAATTGGATTTATATGTACACATGTAGGGTAAGCAATAATGTGTGTATATGTGTGTGAGTGTAGATGAGGAAGGGCTCAAGTGGATGGTTTTCACGTCAAAATGTTCATATGTCATACACTAAATAGACACTGTGACAGAACTGGCTTGCGAAGACAAATGTGCCCACATATAAACATTTTATAAGCAGTCCAGTGTGTATGAAAACTGTAAAATATACAAAGTACACACCAAGTCGAAGAGTAACTGCACATCACATTTCATCAATCCTTCCCGCCTGTGCTTAAAGGAAAATTCCACACTTGGCTAGTCTGAAGCAGTTACTGTATATCAATCTGTGATATTCAGCCCATTAAAGGAGTTATTTTGTAATGAAAAGTTGTAATTTACATTTCTGTACACCCATTTTCTCTCAGTTATGCTCTTCTAACTGAAGGTCAATTAGTGATATCCCACATTAGCCAAAAACATATTTTAAAGATCTAAGTCCAATCGGAATACGCAGATAAGGGAATCTCAAGTAAACACGCCTTTGCACATTTTTTCTCCTAACAAAATGCTTAAGCATTTCTTTTACATAGCTTAAACATGAACAAATAGCTAAATATAAACACAACCACATGTGTTGTACACAGCTTTTCCATGACAGTGTGGTTGCAACATGTTTCTGTCATCTATTACAGCAGTGGTCCTGAAGGGACCCCTTTTCTATCATTGAGTAAACTGATGACCCCTCATTAAGTAACATATTTTATAGAGGGTTAACCCTTATAATTAATCAATAACAATAACAGCACAGAACAACTGATTAAGTGTGCAATTTAAACCACATAGTGAACACAGTAACTGCAGGAAGGGAATCACTGTATTACGGTACGTAAATAGGTCTATTTAATTGTAATGCTCATTACATGCCAGAAAACTGTGCTAATCGTAACCCTTTCTTAATAAAGGTGCCATAAAGGGTTTAACCTATGTGTAATTTAAGCACATCTCAGACTCACCTCTACATTGCTAGACTTGGCTCAATATCAGTCCAACTGTACTTTACCCCCTCTTAACGCTTTAAACTAATAGCTAATATTAGCAACACACTCACAATAAATTGTGAATGTCAAGGCAAGCTATTCAATACAAGATATTTAAACTTTGTACCATAGTGTTGCACCAACAAGCTGGAGGGCCAATAGACAGACCATTGACCAATAGTGAGCCACACCACCGGGGCTAAAAATGGTTTGAAGAGACTGGCATTTTGTTGCAAGGTCAAGACTTTGCTCCTTGCTTCCACAAGTCCGAGTCCCAATGCGTCATTTCCTATTGTATATTTGCTGGCAACTATGGCAAATGGAGAATGGGCGTTCAGTAAATTGAAGCTCATAAAAATCTCTTTACACTCTACAGTGTACTAGAAGAGGTAATACTCCCCATAAAGTACCAATTTCCCCAGAAACTGGACATTAAAAACATCATCAGTGATATCACCACAAGGAAATTTTAGCTCTTGGCATTTGGAGTTGAACCAAAATATGTGTAATATAAAATATAAATAAAGACTAAACATCTGCCACACCAACAAAGAGACACTATAAAGTAGGATTATATGGGATTATGTGAGCATAGTTTTCTGTTTGGGCAAACAAAAGGTTAATATAGTTAATACACCACACTGTCAAATATGGTTTTATAATAGGACTAAATAGAGATAAGCTTTATGTCTCATGAGAGCAGCCAAGACGTGTATCTACCGGTTCTTTCATGTTGAGCTTAGTTACTTTATTCCATTTTATTTGTTATTCACCGTAATGGAGATATATGAGAACATACTGTCTTGAGCTATGGTGATGCCTGAAAACAGTGGTTTCTTATTAACACAAGTAAATGATTGTATTGATTTTTTAAATGCGTGTTAATCATTTTTAGGTTTAGTCTTGTAAATATTATGTTCCCAATTTAGACTAGAATGGGCAGGGTACATTACCCTGCAGCCTGCACACAGGATGGCCATGACCCTCAACCGTGAGTGTCTATTCTCATCCTAAACCTTACTCTTCTGGAGGGTTGTTTACTGAAAGAGGCATCAGATCCAAATATTGACTTCCCCAACTTCCTCTGTTTAATTCAATCTATCTCTACTAGTCCAGCAGCACACTCCACATGACAGAAAAGGCAAAAAAAGACAACATTCAGAGCAGAGGAAGAGAGGGCTAAGAACAGAAGCGTTAAAGTGCTGGGAGAAACAAAGTGAAAGACAGACAGGGAGAGAGAGAGGGACAGAGAGACAGGCAGTAGAAGAGGTTAATGAGGCAATCAGGAGAAATAGAGAACTGAATGATTAAGTGAGCGCAGAGAGGGAGAGAGAAAATTAGAGAGGAGGAGAGCAGGAGGAGCAGTTATCCTTTTACACTTCAATTAATATCAGAGTGGATGAGACTGCTCTCTTAACAGGATTGGTGTTGGAAGCTTTTGCTGGTCATGTTTCCACAGCAGGACCAAGTTAGTCAAAGAACAGAGGCAAAATCAACACATACTCATGTTTTGACAGTAATGAGTCACATCTGTTAAGAAAAAAAAATCTAATCCTAAACTCAAACAGAAAACTAATGAAAAACATATCTTTAAATTTGTCTGGAACTGGAAACTAGGCTACCAATACTTGAGCAGAAACCAAAGTGGGTTTAATGCGTCTTGGCATATTTTTCATTATTCATGAATTACACTGTGAGCATTATTCATAGGCTCTTACATACCTCTCCATGTCGGGAAAGTTAATCAGCAGCATTCGCAGGAAATCCTGTCCAAGAAGAACAAAAAGAGATAGACAGAAATGGAGGCATTTAGGGAGGTTTGGGAGGAAGAAAAAAAAAAGAAAGAGAAAGGCATACCTGATCTTAAGTCAGGAGTACAAGGTCAAACTGTGTTTATGTTACATCCATTATTTAGTGAGAAGACTCAGACTGCCACCGCAGAAACAGGAGCCAGGTGGAACACATCACATCACATCACACACACAGACACACACGTACATACAGACTTCCAGGTGTGATCACTCAGCTTTGTGGCCCCAGCCGAATAAACATATGTGGCTAAAAGCTGATGTACGGCCATCAATTTGAAAGGCTGCTGGTCATTTTTTTAACTATTCTAACACAGCTGACATGAACCTCCAATTAATTTATGGAAATAACACCGTGCCTCAGAGACAGGTCATATCAAAACAGTTCAAATCTGAGCTCAGGTTTTATTAACAGCCACTCAAGTAGCTGTAGGTCAACAACAGGGTTCTCTCTTAAGTTAATCAAGTAAAAATGAGTTTCCTATACTACAGCCTCACCTGAGACAAAATCAGTTGCCCATGGTATTTCTTCACAAATAATCTGAAGAAGTCAATGAACTGTTGCTCTCCCACTTGGCTGCCTAAGAACCTGAGGAGGAAGTAACCCTGGACAAAGGGACAAGACAAATAAATATATGATCCATCAAAGACAACACAGAGAAACACAGCGGCAACATCTATAGTGAATACAAGCACATCTACTGTAACAAAAAGTGGGCCACCTAAAAGGATATTATAGGATTTTTTTTATAGTTCCCTTCCTTTCCTACAACCTTCATCAATTTTTCCTCCTTTCCTTTCTGCCCCACATTTATCTCACCTTGAGGTAGTGGACTTGCATGAAGGCTTTGTCAGGGTTGAGGGCATGTTTAACTGTGGAGGAGCCAGACTCACTGACCTGACCAGTGTTTTCCATGTTAGGTCTGCAAAAGGACAAATAGAGCAGAGAAACAAAAACACACACAGAAAGATAAGACAGGTAAGGAAATGTGCATACACAGGGGGAGAGGGATGACGTTAGAGAACCTAAGCAAAGAGTTTTTTATTCCATCCCACTCTAACAGACATTTTAGTTGCAGGAAAACCACAATTTCTACAGAGCAAGAATACACTGTCAGCAACACGAAATCCAGCCACTCAGCCAGTCCTCTCAATGGTGAACACATTGCCAAGTTGCCATACTTGCCTGAGGCAGGCTGGAAATCAAACTGCAGATTTATAATAGCATGCTACGCTGTTTATATGACCTCACAGTGCTGCGCTCTGACTTTACTGCCCGTGACTCACTGAGCGAACATATAACACTTCCACAAAAAAGTACCCCCGTCTACAGGCACAGAAGAGGCATGCTCTAGGTTTCGCCTTCCCTGTCACACAGATACAAATCATCCCTTCAACCTCCATAAACACACAGACAAACACACATAAAACCAATAAAAGACAAACAAACAGGGCGCTGACGTGGGATGCTGTGCAATGATAGTTTCAGTTAGCCGGTATTGATCAGGCTGAGCAGATTAACTCAGTGTGCCAATAGGAAGGCCTTGAAGGATCACCCTCCTACCAAGTCGATACGCTAGGCGCCTGGCCCACTAATCAATACACCTTTCATCACTGGCTAGCACTTTTCCAGAGGAACGCTTCATGACAGGGCCAGACACACACACACACAGATAAACAGGGAGACCATAAACACACATTCAAAATCGCATTCACACCATTCATGTATGACCTAAAACCACAATGTTTAATCTCTCGAGTTAGGCTTCAGCTATGAGCCACAAGTTGGTCTTTGTCCAGGCATGGTGAGCAGAAGAGCAGGGACAAGGGGGGAGATGAAGTAGATTAGGGTTTAGCACAAAAACAGGAGGAGGAGGATGTGTGGGAGAAATTGAGGACAGGAGATAGACGGGAATGTTTGGTTTGCTCAGTGGACTGAGAGAGGAAGTCATCAGCTTCTTGGAATTTCTAAATTCGACTGGACACTCTTAAAAAGACTTTCATCATTCAAAAAAGGGTGTGCTCCCCATTGAGTGCATGCGCGCATGTCATATAAACGTTACGTGTAAGAAAAATTACAATACTAATGACCTGAATTGGGAAAACCCATTTTGAAACACCTTTGGAACAGTAATGATGCTCAGTGTCTATACATTAAAAACAGTGGATATATGGATTTACAGAAGGAAAAACCTGTATTATAAAATACATTGTTTTAGTTATCAGTTATTCTCCATGTATCATGGCCACATGGCCATTAACTTGGTCTCTGCCAAGTCTCCTGCCCGTAGTGCCCATGTCTGTCTGTTACTACTGATAAGATGAAATAGACTCTTTTTATGACAGCAGGACGTGCCGTATCCCTGGGAAATTGTGTGTGTGTGTGTGTGTGTGTGTGTGTGCATTTGCCAGACAGAGAAGTACAGAGAGAAAGAGGGACTGGATCAAGAGGCAAAAACAATGACAGAACATGTATTTCTAGAAGAGAAAATGTGTCGGTTTCGTGCGTCAGAGATACCGCCGGCACAGTGCGGAGAGGGAAAATGTTTATCCATCACTGCCGTGTTAGACAAAGGAACTCCACCCTTCCCACTGTCCAGACCAGGGATGTATGGATGTGTAAATCCCTGTCTTTCGTCGTCTCTCTTTGTCAGTAATGATTTACTACAGCTTTAATAGGAATCGCTGCTCGCTGCCTTGGAGAATCAAACAATAGCTCAATGTATCGCAGAATAAATGGTGCTCTTATCTGACTCGTAGGCCATGTGTGTGAGAGGGAGGGTGGTTGTGTGTGTTTGTGTGTGTCTGTGAGTAGCCATGCATATACCTGGGTGTGTCTGAGATTGAGAGAGAGAAAGAGCGGGAGGAAATCAGGAGCTATTACTGACAGAACTTAATGTGAAACGTACACACGCACACACACACACACTTAGAGGTTTATAGCTCCGCGAGCCATATCCTGACAAATTACACTGGGTTGACTGTGGAAACCGGATAAGGTAGAGCAGCACTCCCAGCAGCCCAGTGAATCAGCAGGGAGAATGGCGTCTGGCCCAGGCTGCCCTAAATATAACTCATCTGAAATGGACTGATAAACACTGGCCACTGGGGCCCCTTCTGGATCACGGGGTGTCGATTGTGACCCACTGAACTTGGAAAGCACAATTTGCCATTTAGCCTTTATATGTGTATTTGTGTGTGTGTGTGTGTATGGCGGTGAGGTTCTGCATATCTCTCTGTAGATCCCATTGCGTTTCCTTTCCCTTCACAGGGTTGTCTCTGACATGTCTCTGTGCATTTTGACAACCAGTTTGTGTTTATTCTTATAATGTTTCTCCACAGTTGTAATGCTTAACAGTGGAGCCCGCCTCAGAACTTGGACATACTGGCAGTTTGGCCGAGACCAAAAAGTAGCACGGCTTGCTCCCAACTTATAGTATACTATGATCTTAGTTACATCAAACCTTCCAATGCCCCATATGGTCACAGTGTTAATGAGAGTTTTTCTGATAAGACAGACAAATTATCGCCCGATATTGGGAAACTTCCATTTTTATAAAATAACGGGATAATTAAATTATATACAAAAATATATTATATATTATATATGTTAAATTATATATATTAATAATATTTTTTAATTCTAGTGCAAAACAATTGATAGGCTTTAACCTTACTAGAAATAAATTTACATTTAAAGAATCAGAACTGTTGCTTGTTTGTTGTTGTGTAAACAATAGTGATGTCAGTTAGATTTGGTTCGATCAGAGCCATGGGTGTACATATCTTCCATTTTTGCTAGACTTTCGTACCCTCAGTTGTGTTAAAACTACAGGTTGTAAACTTCTTGTTAAAACACAAAAATGAGAAGCAGGTAATAATTGGTTATTGTATCGGCTGGAAAAAATATATTGTGTATCCCTAACCAATATATATCATGATATGGCAAACATACGCAAAATCATATACAAAATAATCAAACGAAGAGTATAAATAGAAAGAATACAATGCTTAATGAAAGACCACTGTTTGAGACTGAATGAACAACTGGGAAGGGGTCAAAGTAATTGGCCAAAGAAAGATCAAGGACACCACATACAAAGACAAAGACCCTCCTTGAACTGAGATAGGGTTACAGTCTCCCTCCCACGGACCCATGAGATGTGGTTAAAAGCACCTGAAAGTTGAGATTTTTTGTGGGGTGGGGTTATGGTTAGAGTACACTATTCCCAAGGTCAAGAATCATGTTATGTCATCAAAACCCATGTGCAAAACCAAAAAACTTCAGCAACTCATTTTGTTTTTGTTGTTGTTTTTGATTTAATGTTGCTGCACAATGTGAGTTGGGATATAAAAAAAAATGGTAACGCCTCATTTTACTGGTCTGTAATTTGCTAGTAATTTCTTGATAATTTCCTGCGAGGGTTTCCTGGTAATAACTATGTAAATTTCCTAGGATAATATTAATTTTCTTGAAAGAACGGCTCTGCTTCAATCCAAGTAAATATTCAGTTATTATTCATTTATTACTGGCAACCTTATTCTTCATATTGAATTGTATGCTTGCCTGTAGGCCCATTTCTGCATGTTCAGCTGACCTGCTGTGCACCAAGATACTCTCTACATTACACAGCAATTAATTGGATATTATTGAACACTGACTCTATTTTCCACATAATTAGTTCTTAATTGAAAAGCTATTTCAAGGAAACTTGAAAATCATCTGAAATTATTGAGAAATGACAACCAAACAGGGAATATTGATGCTCTAAGAAAACTGCATTGTATTTGCAGAGTAAAAACTGTACCTGACTGTGTTTAGTCATTAAGATAATGTATGAGCAGGGTTCCTTCATGCCTCAATAGGCTTTATCGTTGCTTTAAGAGATGTGAGGATTAAGAAATAGCTTTTCCTTGGGTGCCACTTAAGCAATTACTTGTCTATTCAATACTGTGTTTCCATGTAACATAATCAGTAAAAATTTATGAATCCACTCATATGGGCATATAAGTCTGTGCCTATGTGTGAGTGCATGTATTGCTAGGGAATTTTGCAGAAGTTAAGTTTTATGTTGTTGATTTAACCCTGTCAGGTGCAGAGAAACCTAATACTGATCCTTCTAATCACCCATGCGTCTGCCTCATAGGGGAACACCCTGATAGACAGACAAAGCTCTCAAGTATATGTTTAACCCTTTCGTTCACACACAGATTCCTATTTCAAGATATATCTTTGGTCACAATAATGAATTTTATCATATTTAAGCCTACCACAACTGTGAAACTTCACAATGCACAACATACACTAGAGGCTATCAGCAGAAAGAGTAACACATTTACAAACAAAGTCATCCTTGAAGCACTGCAGCCATTTAAAGCCATTTAAACCCATGAGGATGGTCATGAAAGGTAACAAATAAAAATACAAACACTGAAGTGTTCCACTAATGTAGCTTGCACCATTCAGGATAGCTTAAATTGATTTGAATTCTAAATACTATTCATTTATAAGTGTTTCCATTCTGTGATGACAACACATTAATAGTGAAGTGACATAGAAGTTTGTGCGAAGCAGAAGTGCCATGAAATCAATAAAACATTGATTTGCTGTCACGTTCTGTACGGTCTCTTACAAGCGTGAATGTCAATAGCGTAATCTCTAGTGAAGAGGCTTTTTTTATTCAAAGGAAGCAACAATATAAAAAGTACAGTGCTAACAACATTTTCCCACCCTCAAACGGTTAACTCCAGGCTGAGGTTTACACCTATAATCCCCTGATGACACTGTGCTTCCACCCTGGATAAAACAAACAGGGTGTGGGTCCCACATTGTCAGGATCAGATGAAGAGTTTGTGTTTGTGCGTACTTGCTTTTCTAAGACATGACAGTACAGTACACCTGGATATACTTGCCACACCTGCCACACCTGTACCCCTGGAATGCATACTGTATATTTCAAGCTAATATGTGTGTCTGCACATGCAGACACTACCAGATGCCTTAACCTAAAAAAACAGAATAGACTGTGTCTACTATGGAGAATTAGTTAAAGACAAATGCAACTTAAACATTGTCTTCTCCTTGAATGAAAGTGCTCCTAATGCATATTTTCGACAGGGCAAAATATAAAAGAATTATATGTGAACATTTTCAATTTCATGTCATTATGTTCTGCTTTAAGCATGCCTATTAAAGGTGCTGCTGCACTATTCTATATATATATATATAT